TATATATATATATATATATATATATATATATATATATATATATATATATATATATATATATATATATATATATATATAATATTATTTGAACATGCATGATACATGCTATACTAATATATCTTCTAATTTACTTGAGACTGGAGTTCATGTTTGTGTTCGTTAGGTGCTGAGAGCAGACACGGGGAGTTTTTAGGGGAATTTCAATATTAGGTTTTATGAGAATGTTTAGGGGAGACAAGCAAACGGCCTGGACTAATGTTAGTGTTGGGTTTGGTGAGATGACGACATACCTTTATTACGTTTCCTTCCCCTTGCGTTCTCAAACTCACTGTTATTGAAATATCTCCCGGGGTCACTTCTTCACCAATACGCTTTAAGGGGAAAAAAAGAATATAATCCAGGGGTTCTTAACCTGGGCTCAAGGGACCGCTCAGGGCTTCGTGTAAAGGGTTTTAGGGATCCTTTAAAATATATTATTATCAAAAGGTGTTTGTGTGAGTGAGAAATGGTGTCCACGGACTAAACATAATTTTTTTTTTAAAAAACGTGTTTAAAAAAAACAACATTAGCAAAAAGTTCATGTAAACATTTGTGTCGAGTCCTTAAAAAAAAAAATTCTTCCTGAATTCCTGTTACAGTTGACGAAGACCTTTTGCCAGAAGCGAACACAACCTGCAGGGACAGGTGGGATAGCTGCTGTAAGAACCCAGGGCACACCAACTTCATTCCCGTACCCGAATTCGGTAAACATTACCTCCCCTCGGGGTGTCAAGACGAAGAGCTCAAGGAGTTCATTTTGTCGGTGGCCGCGCTGACCACCCTCATCACGGTTGATTACGTCAGCGCAAACCGGCCCTTGACCTTGACCTGCTCACAGACGACTCCTTATCCGTTCTCCAGTAAAAGAGGTGGCCAAGCCACGCGGACAGGAAGTGGAATGGTTTGGGAGGTTAAAAAGATCACCGGAAAGGACTCCGAGGAGCTGGGAAGCTGTCCGTGCGTGGAATGTCGCCGGTCTCCTGAACCTGTTAAAGAATGGGGGTTGGTTCAAGTCCTCACGGCCCCACATGTCGTGTTCGATGCTAAAGAAATCGTGGACGCCCGATTCTATGTTTGTCAAGACGACGATAGTAATAAGACGACAGGGGGCGCTCTGGTCGGAATCGAATCTATTTATAACTTTGTTGACAACGACGCAATTCTCATCAAATGCGCCACTCACGACCTCAACCTGGTTGATAAACTTGAAACCTTGTGGCACAGATACTTCAAGTTGTACATGAATGTTTCTGAGAGATTCAAGGGTCCTCAAAACGACAAACTGTGTGTAGTTGTGTCCCACCCCCACGGGTTCATCAAACACGTCAGCGTTGGCACCTGGTCTAAGAGCGAGGGAGCAGGAGGTTTAATGCCAGATACAAGGTACACATACGACACCCCCACATGCCCCGGCTCCAGTGGTTCCCCAGTTTTTGTAATGGGAACTCGGTGGAAACCCATAATTCGTCCGCACAGTGGGTCAATGGGCCTGAACAACCTGAGCTCTGTTTACTGGGGCTGAGACGCACTTTTTGGACAAAAAGTAATTCATTCCTTAAATTACGTACATGAACATCATTAAAAAAAAATAATTTCATTACTTTGTGTTTTACCACTTAGGGTTCACATGCCATTTGCGTAGGTATGTAACGTCTTTTCACTGTCTGCATGGAATTACCACACAACCATGAAGCACAATAAAGCATAAATTAAGTAAGAAACAAAAATAAATTAGTTCGATTTTATTATTTGGTTCTGTTAAAATCCTCTATGTTACCCTTTTGTTCGTGTGGCATTCTTTGTGGCGAGTTGTGTGGCAAAATCTTCGGGCCACTAATTGGTCCACTTCCTTCTTCTTCTTCTTCTTCTATATCTTAAGGGCCCACGATCAATTTATTGATCATTTTGGCTCCTATGCATGTAGATGGGATTTGCAAAGTTTCTGTGCCTGGTGTTGATGAGGAAATTTCACTGATTTCCAGTGCCACTTTGTGAGGGAATCATGCACTAGGGGTTTGAAGGCTTGAGGCAATAGACACAAATGTGTCTAGTGTTGTCGCCTCAACCATTCCTTTTGAAAGCTTGTTCCCGTCAAGCTATCAAGCTGAAACCCGGCACAGAGACTTTTTGCCATCGACAACACTTTTTTTTTTCCAAATATTGAGCTCCACACCCAATACACCGTAAATTCCCGATAACTGCGCTAAGTGAGGTTTATAAAAATAATGCAAGTGCGTTTGGTACGTAATATTTTCTTCTTTTTTTTTTCGGAAATAGTCGGTTAAATAATCATGCGGTGTAAAAGAACGTGGGGCATTATAATATTAATATAAAATAAATAACATAAAATGCATGTAAAGATTTTATCAGAAAATTTTTTTTTCCCAGGGTTGTTCAATTTTATCTGACTTAACACTTGACCAGAGCACAGTGAGCATGCTAAAATGGCATGGATACTGGCGCGATAGAAATATCAAGTCAATCAATCAATCAATTTAAATATATGTCTATATGTTCAATAGGGTTGGTTTCACTCCACTTGTGGGAGGGGGGGTGTCACCTGGTTTGGTGCACGTCCCTCTCACCCCCCCTCTCCCCTCTCCTGATGGCGCTACTAGCGGAGAGATATTTAACTTGGTTTAACCTACAAGAGGAAACGGTGTTCATTAAAAAAAACAAAAAACAACGTTACCTTGACCTTAACAGCTAATCAAACTTTGAGATAAGATACGATGTTTCCACAAGTTAAGGTCTCTATGTGCCGGCACTGCCTTGGACTAGAATGACGACTGAACACATGGTACCTAGCACACTCGTGTAGTAATTTGATGTACGTTAAAACACACTTGTATTATGATATATGACACTATAACAACAACAAAAAAATGTGTTTCGAAATGTATAATGCGGGTTAGGCTACAAATAAAAGAATCCCAACTTCCTTATTTGATTTCTTCTTGTTAAATTAAGTCTGATCTTCTTGTTAAATTAAGTCCACAGTATAACAATGACAAGAACAAAAAACACATACATTGAATGTGCGCTTCTCGTGCAGAAACAATCTTAAGGCCTCTAGGTTTGTCCCTACTTTGTCGAGAGGACAGCCTTTAGGCTGCAGATTCTACTGTGTAAGATTAACTTCCTCATGCAGATCAGCCCAAAGGTAAAGGTAACAGACATCATGTAAAAGACCTTGTGCTGTACATCTTGTATCCGAATTTTCAAGAGGACTACATAAGCTTCGATCGCTGCCACACTTTCATCAAACTCATCTTTCACTGTTTTAACAGCAGCATGATGAGCATTCCAACGCGCTGTTTACAGTCTTTTCAAGGTCATTCCAGTTTGTTCAATTAGAACCTTCCATCGATGAGTGGATGCAGCAAAGAAGGGAACTATTCTTTCAAGATTACCGAAAAATGTAATACATGAAGCATTTTCTGCAAAAGAGCGTTGACCACACAAGTTAAGCGAATGGCCCACACATCCTTTAAAAATTGCTTTCTTATTGTTCCTTTTAGAATGGCCTGAACACCTCCATAGATTCAAGACATTTAGGCAGCATTATCGTAACCTTGAGCTCTGAACAAAATTATGTCTAGTCCATTACGTTTTAGTTTGTAATAATGTCAGAACTGAGGTCATCAGTTTTTTTTCCCCTCTTAACGGGAAAAAAACAAAACAAAAAGCACACACTTCTCCCACTTCAACTTTCCCATTGTGGATTTTCACATATCGGATCACTCAGGCATCTGGTCAGTGTGTGATATATCAGGGGTACTTTCGAACATAATTCCAAAATACCTCGCAGCCCTTATATCCATGATAAGAATCTCCTTCACATGATTTGCAAGGACGTTTATAAATTCATTTTGGGTCTCTGGTGAAAAGTAAGATGCGGATGCTTTGTGTTGTTGACATACACCTCTTTAGTCTCATTTGACATGCACCTCTTTAGTCTCATTTGTTACTCGCTTAGCACTGGGTCACATGCACCTCTTTAGTCTCATTTGTTACTCGCTTAGCACTGGGTCACATGCACCTCTTTAGTCTCATTTGTTACTCGCTTAGCACTGGGTCATATGCACCTCTTTAGTCTCATTTGTTACTCGCTTAGCACTGGGTCACATGCACCTCTTTAGTCTCATTTGTTACTCGCTTAGCACTGGGTCATATGCACCTCTTTAGTCTCATTTGTTACTCGCTTAGCACTGGGTCATATGCACCTCTTTAGTCTCATTTGTTACTCGCTTAGCACTGGGTCATATGCACCTCTTTAGTCTCATTTGTTACTCGCTTAGCACTGGGTCATATTTAGATAGCATCTCAACCATTTTAAGAAAGTTTCATGTGAAGATTTATCTTCGTTGTTGTCCCGAAATGCCAGATTTTTGCTCTGCAAGATACATTGTGAAATCCAGCAACCTGTGCAGGATATCCCTCCATTTTTTCTTCTCCCTGGCTATCACAGCAATACCTTCGGCATCAATTAAGTGTTTTGTGTATGCTAAGTCCTGTTGCCAATGCTTCCCACATTTCAAGGCAACATAGGTGCTTCATGGTTTTGTAATTTTGGGCTAAGAATCCACCACTTGTCAAAGCCAGTAACAAATTTGGATGCTGTTTCTGTAACATTGACAGCAACACAATCTGACATAAACATAGGGTAGTCTTATTTTCTGACGCATCAACCTAGAACTTTTAATAAAGCACGCATTTCGATTGGTCACATTTGTGAACAATATATGTGTGATCGGTTATGTTTTGATGAATCTCGGTTAGACCGAAAGGTGTGTGCTCTGTAAATATGCAATTTTCAGTTGGGTGTCACCCCTAAAATGGTGTCACCCGGTGCGGCCCGCGCCCCCCGCACCCCCCTTGCTACGCCACTGACGATACACAGTGTCCCAGTTACAGATGCGGTCAACAATGGACCACTCGTGTTGTGTGTTAAATGTCATAGCCCAATCGTGGTGCGGAACACGTGACAGGAAGAAGACTTGTCAGACAGAAAGGATCCCGGAACACAGCTGGTGCCGTTACAGAAGATGGTGTTGCAGCGCGTGACCTGGCGTCAAGTGTTATGCTTAGCATCCTAACCACTGCTAGTTGATCTACACATTAAACTTGCGTGGACGACTGGGTTAAAGGTTGTCGAATAATGACAGTGGGGAAAAAAAACAATTCAGGCCCTTCAAATTTCAATTACGCCTGTTCGTGTTACTGAGCTCCACATTTCACATTATACAATTTTGTTTTTGTTGTTGTGTGTGTTGGGCTCTACTGCTTTCTATAGTCTGTCTTGGACTAATCCAGCCGTCATTAGAATACAATAACGAAAGTAAGTCATTTTCAGAGATATATTTTTATTTTATTTTAATTTTTCATCTATACTTGGGGGTTTTGGGGGTTTAGGGGGTTTTGGGGGTTTAGTGGGGGGGGGGGGGGTTAACTCTTCACCAAGGAAGTGTTTTTTTTTTCTTTTTAAGCATGTTTATTTTCAATCCCACCATTCTTTAATCACTTCATGTGAAAGATATTTATTATTTTGGACCTTTTAAAAAACAATTCAAATTAAAAAAAGGTAGAAAAACAGTAAAAACAAGGAAATATTTGACAACTCGAGGAACAAAAACAAGCTTCATAAGATGAGCTCTCTTGACATACGCTTCATAAGATGAACTCTCTTGACATACGCTTCGTAAGATGAACTCTCTTGACATACGCTTCATAAGATGAGCTCTCTTGACATACGCTTCATAAGATGAACTCTCTTGACATACGTTTCATAAGATGAAATCTCTTGACATACACTTCATAAGATGAACTCTCTTGACATAAGTTTCATAAGATGAAATCTCTTGACATACGTTTCATAAGATGAACTCTCTTGACATATGTTTCATAAGATGAAATCTCTTGACATACGTTTCATAAGATGAACTCTCTTGACATATGTTTCATAAGATGACATCTGGACACAATTTAAAAAAGAAAATAAAAACTTTGCAAAGTTTTGCTTCATTTATAAATTATTTTGAAAGTAATTGTTTATAACTTACCCCGAATTTGAAAGCCATATCAAAAGCGCTTGTCCACCTACTGCCCAAACGATTCTCAATGAGATTTAAATGACATTGCTCAAGACGGGGAAAAAAATAAGTGCAACAGAAAGGTTGACAGAAATCCAGTACGAATGACAAAATGTGAACAATGTGGACCATGGGTACTTAGCAAATCTTTTATACTGGTACCAATTTTACAAAAATTAGAATCACTGTACGTGACGATCCTTATTGTAGAAATTGGATGTGGTGTGTCATAAGGGGGAGATGTCGTTAATTTTGTCACAACTTTTTCTCTAGATCCTGCCAGTCCTATCTTACTGAACATCTTCCTGTCTATTCACAACTTCGAAAGCTTCGTTCCTCCGCAGACGCGCGTATTCTTTCTGTTCCTAGAACACGCACTAAAACGTATGATGAACGATCTTCCTCTTTCCGTGCCCCCAAACAATTGAATTCTCTACCATTAAACATCTGCAATAAACCGACCATCAAAGCCTTCAAAACTGCCATTAGATAGTTCTTGCATGGGTGATGTTAAGCTTTCGCCTATTGTTATTTTTAAATGTATAATTTTCTGATAATAATTTGAAGGATTTATGAGAATTTTTTAAAAGATGTGATCATGACATTGTGTAGGGTGAAACAAACGCATTTCGGTCCATGGGGCAATGCCTGGATCTGTTTGTGTTTTACTTATATGGTATGAGCTATACAAATGAAACACACACACACACACAAACACACACAAACACACACAAACACACACACACACACAAACACACAAAAACACAAACACACACAAACACAAACACACACACAAACACACACACAAACACACACAAACACACACAAACACACACAAACACACACAAACACACACAGTTTGCTCTGGTGTTAGGTATCGGTCATGAACGTTGAATAAAAGTTTTTTACTGGTCAACAAAAAAAGAACGTCTTTTCATTTAGCTTTTTGCTCATTTCAAGAGATCATTGTGTGCAGTGTTAATTTGTGTTACCAACTTAATGCCTCGTGAAAGTAAATACCACCAAAGGCGTCGCCTCTGATAGTTATTAATTCAAAGGATTTACTGCGTGGGATCTTTTGGCTAAATGGGATTGTTGGTCTTGTGGTTTGAAATCATATTAAATGTGTTAAAAAAATGTTTTTCATAGTTATAATCAATTTTTTTTCGTACACTGCATGAGTTCTGTTAAACGATTCTTAAATTCATCAACACACTTAGCAATAGCAGAGCAATTCCATCGTGTAGAATCCATTCAACAATTATATTATCTTGACACGTCATCTCTAATGGATGGCCACCATGTTACAGCGGGAAGATCAACAATGTCCCTGCACTTGGTTCCATTCTAAATATCGCCAGGTATGCCGCATTTCAATGTCTTCAATCATGCGTGAAACCGTTTGTAATACAGGCGTGTAACTACCAAAAGTAACAACACTGCTTCTATTTGTCCTTCACCTTGCACACAGTCGATTGTAAGATTGAAGAATTATGATACGGTCAACTCAATATTGGAGTAGAATTTAAGCTTCATTCGAATTGTTATTTCAGAACATATCTTCGTTCAGATGTGTTGTAAATTCGATGAAAAAAGGTAAGGTACGCGTCACTAGACCAGTAAATGTTTATTTTTAGAATCTATTGCTAAAGGGAAGCCTCTTATGAAAAAACAGATCTGTTACAAGTTAGTAGTGTTCAGGAGTTTACTGGTGCGATCGTATAGGCGCTGGGAACCCTTGCATTAAACTGTAGTTCCTTTGTGATAGTTATAAAAAAACGCCGATATTTGAAGCTACCACAAGTTATCATGTAATGATCTTGTTTGAATCTATTACTAGTTACTGGTTACCCATCTTGTTCGAAGCTACCACTAGTTATCATGTACTCGTCTTGTTAGAAGCTAAATATCATGTACTGACCTTGTTTTAAGCTATCACTAGTTTGTTATGAAATGATCATGTTGGTAGCTACCACTAGTTATAATGTATGTATACTGATCTTGTAGACTCCAAAGTTCTGAACCATTTTATTTCACGCGCGTCACATCCTACGTCTATTCACAAATAAAAACCTACACATTAGTTTGTGAGTACAATTATAACTTTTTATAACACGTTCTCTTCTACTTCATGTTGGTGTGTGTGGCACGCTTCAGAGATGAAGAAGATGCCGTTTCTTAATGTGTGTATACATATGTCCGCGTGAGTCTATGTTAGTATATGTGGGCATATGTGATTGTTTGAGTAGAATATAGGCGTTTGTCTGTGGGCGTGTCATATGTCAACGCTAATGCTTTTAAATGAAACTTTTAATTATGTTTCTAATGTCTAGAAGTAATCACCGTTTGGAAATTTGAAACACATGGAACATCCAAAATGTATAATTCTGCATCTAAAACGTTGAAATGTTTGTACATCCAAGGACCGTTTAACCAATGATCAAGAGAGCAGAAAAGATTCATTCTAAAATGGGTGGGTATATTAAAAATATTCTGCCTTTGCTAATTTATATTCTCTCCGTCTATCATATATATTTTTTTTCTATTACACACACACATACATATATATATATATATATATATATATATATATATATATATATATATATATATATATATATATATATATATATATATTTATATATATATATATATATATATATATATATATATATATATAATATATATTTTTTTTATTACACACACACACACATATATATATATATATATATATATATATATATATATATATATATATATATATATATTTATATGTGTGTGTGTGTAATAGAAAAATATATATTTATATATTTTTTGTATATATCTAGCTCTATCTGTATCTTTATATCTTTTTTATGTTATATAACAGTTGCAGACAGTCATTGAACTAAAGCAGGAATTTCCAAACGCCTCTATATTCTGGAGCACCACTACTTGTTTGTCTCTATTAGGCAACACATACAAAAGTAAAATCAATCATTTTAAAAACTGCACTGCAAACAAAATGGTCTCCTAAACCTGATTTTGGATAACGAAGAGAACTTTAGAACTCAGAAAATATATTCGTTACATCAGGAAAATATTCATGAAGATTAAAAAATATATATATATATATATATATTTATAAAATGTATATCATAAGTTAAAATTAAAAGTCACTGGCTCCTCGGTCCCTAAGACTCCATTTGATAAAATCTCACTTAAGACTTTTTTTTAATAACTTTTATGAGAAGATTCCCTGTGTTTGCTTTATTTCTTATTGCTTCAACCTGAACGCAAACCTGCCCACATTACGCTTAAAGTAATTCTCTGAGCATACAAGTATTTATTATGGTATTAATTAAGTGGCAGCAGAGATCACATTGTATTTCAAAGCCTTAACACAGGATTCCTTATTGTTTTAGGAGACGAAGAGTTGCTTCTCGAGAGCAACAGCAAGGTCAGGTGGGATAATTGCCCCAAGAGATCAGGACACGCGGCCTTCATTCCCGTGAACGAATTCCGCAGGCACCACCTCCCCGCGGGATATCAAGACGAAGAACTCAAGGAGTTCATTCTGTCGGTCGCTGCACTGACCACGCTCATCACGGTGGATTACGTCAGCCCCAACCGACCCTTGACCGTCAGCGACTCCCAGACGCCGTATCCCTTTTCAAACCGGAGGGGCCTGTTTGCCAAGCGAACCGGAAGTGGAATGGTTTGGGAGGTTAAAAAAATCACCGAAAAGGACTCCGAGGAGTCGGGAACCTGCCTGTGCTTCCAATGTCGCCGGTCTCCAACACCGCGCAAGGAATGGGGGTTGGTTCAAGTCCTCACGGCTCCGCATGTCGTATTCGATTCCGAGGAAGTCGTGTGTTCTAAATTTAGCCTTTTCCAAGACAGCGAGGTTAATGAGACCGCAGAGAACTCGATTGACGGCGTGGAGACAGTTTACACTATGGTTGACAACGACGCTTCGTGCATCAAATGCGCCACACACAACCTCGACCTTATCGATAAACTTGAGACCCTGTTTCTCAAATACTTAAAACTGTACCTCAACGTGAAGGAGCGGTTCAAAGGTCCTCACATCGATAAAATATGCATTGTTGTATCCCACCCCCACGGCTACACCAAACACGTTAGTGTTGGTACCTGGTCTTCAAGCGAGGGCGCCGGAAGTTTACTGCCCGATACACGGTACACCTACAGCACGTCCACGTGCCCCGGTTCCAGCGGTTCTCCGGTTTTTGTCATGGGGACTCAGTGGTGTCCCATAATTCGCCCCCACAGCTGTTCAGTGGGCAAGAACAACGAGAGCTCTGTTTACTGGGGTTGAGAAATGACTTGGCGAAGAAGGAACCTAGTAATGAAAAACACTGTGACGGTTCTTAGTCTCTACAACTGAACCCGGGGCTTTTTCATGATGAACCTATTGAGATATCTACTTATAACATACACATTTAAATCGTCATGAAACACTAATTGGAAAAATAGTGTAACAGTTTCCATTTTAGTTTAGATCCACATTTGTTCAGTCCACAAAATAATTACCTTTGTAGTAACACATTTGGTCGGTGTAATCATAAAATTACCAATTTAGATTATATTTGCTCAGTATAAATAGTATAATCGTATAATTACCAATGTAAATTATTTTTTCATCAGTTGTTATTCTTCGTATTTAAGTCCTTTTTTAAAAGTCGCCTCCCGTTGTATTTGTAACATTTTAAAACTACAGCAGACGCCAGACATACCTGTGTCATATCAAGTTTCTGTCAATTCATTTCTTTTTTTTTTTAATGCCTTTTGGATTTGTTGTTCTATTTTTAAAGTTTTTTTTTATTTCTTTGTAGAAAATGTTCATGTTTTACATCATCACTTGAAGTTGAAGATAATATTACGATCAACTGAATTGTCAAACGAAATAAGAAAAAAATAAAATAAATATATCAATGCAATGAAACAAACTTCATACACTGAGGGAATTCCCATATTTTCTTCACTTGACGGGGCATCTCAAGTGTTTTTAATACTTAGACTATTACAACGCAGACAATTATATTCTTCGATTCCATGAACGCTGTCTTTAAAAATGTCTGAGATAAAAACGTTCCGACATAGACAAGTGATTTTTATTAACTGAAAAATGCAGACAAGACAAAAAATATAAATAATGTTTTTCCCCCTCCCTCCAACTCTATTTCATACAATTTTAGAATTTTTTTTTAAATTTTTTTTTTTAATATCCGTCACCAAAACAAACTCTGTAATCTTTTGTCCCTGGTAAACTAAACAGTTGAAGCTGTAAATTAAACTGTAAACAAAAAAAGGTATTGAGTGCTACTGTGCACTAACTTCAAGGTACCGGGTACTGTGGATTGTTGTACGTCAATTTCAACTCCAGTGGTAAATCTCAAGGCTCGTTGACTTGGTCAGAGAGAGAAAGTGAGAGAAAGAGAGAGAGAGACAGAGAGAGAGAGAAAGAAAGACAGAAAGAGAGACAGAGAGAGACACAGAGAGAGACAGAGAGGAAAACAGAGAGAGAGAGAGAGACAGACAGAGAGACAGAGAGAGAGAGAGCTTGAGAGACAGATAGAGAGAGAGAGAGGTGACTCAAAGCGCTGTGGATCTGTTATGGGACAGGCAGCTCAAAGCGCTGTGGATCTGTTATGGGACAGTCAGCTCAAAGTCAAAATCGTTGTGGATCTGTTATGGGACAGGCAGCTCAAAGCGTTGTGGATCTGTTATGGGACAGGCAGCTCAAAGCGCTGTGGACGTTTCGCTAACGTCATCCGCTTCTATCTTCCGTCTAAATACTCTTTGGATATCCAACAATTTGTATATCCTCCACGCACCGTAGTACTTCGTCCTTCCGATCGGCGGCGGTTGGAAGAGGTCAACTGAAGGTACAATGGGGCGGAAAATAAAATAATGTTGTTTTCATCTCTACAAATTCAAGACAAATACAGAGCCGCCGTCACTTGACTTTTGTCCCCCCCCCCCCTCCATCCCCCCACCCACCATTTTTCAATTTTGTGATTTCAAATTTTGATAATTTAAATTTTGTCTCTACATCTCAATTTAAGACCCACTTGAAAAATAACAGAAATTCTAAGGCGGAAAATAAAATAATGTTGTTTTCATCTCTACAAATTCAAGACAAATACAGAGCCGCCGTCACTTGACTTTTGTCCCCCCCCCCTCCATCCCCCCACCCACCATTTTTCAATTTTGTGATTTCAAATTTTGATAATTTAAATTTTGTCTCTACATCTCAATTTAAGACCCACTTGAAACATAACAGAAATTCTACAGCCGAAAGGGGTTGCTAGCTTCAGACGACGACCCATATTTAAGGTGATGTGTAAGAAAAAAAATATCTTATAAATATGAGATGGATTGCGCGTTTGTTATATTATATATAATGTCAAGTGTAGGAATGTATCTTGCCTAATTATGCAAGTTAGCACACATACATAATAATTACTTAATTAAGCATTTATTTAAAAACATAGATCACACACAATTTTTATAAGTTAAACTACAATGCGTGGAATAACTGGAGGATTTAGTGGATGAGCATAGCCGTTCTTAGGAGTTGGGGGCCCTAAGAATGGAGCGTAGGTAGGGGGCCCCGGAAGGGGTGGGTCCGAGGGTGGAGCTCCCTCGAGCTGAGGAGAAAACACCACCCACCACTGCGGCACCTCCATTCTGCCTTCGTCAATTTTCCTCTTTCCCATTCCCACGGCCAAGCCCCAGATTTCCCGTCTGCCCCCCTCAAAGCTCCCCCCATGCTGCTTCCCTTCCCCTGCCTCCGAATTCAACTCAGAATGATAAATTTCAGGATGAGGAAGGTAACGTGAGTGACACAGACGGCTGCAGTGCCAGTTAAAAAAAACAACAACAACAAAATGGGAGTCGAGGGTGCCTCACGGGGGCCCCTGCACGTTCGGGGCCCTACGCGGATGCGGAGTAAGCGTATGCCTAAGAACGGGATGAGGAGACAAGATTTCGTGTACGCGTGTTACTTTTGAAATAGCAAACATTTAAATGGAAATCGGAATCTATTTAAAAGAGTTAACTGTTTGATTAAAAAATGGCCCTTGAAGGCAGGCATTTTGGCTTTGTTCCCAACCCCAACCCCCCCCCCGGCCCCGCAGGTTATGCAATAATGTAAGTTTGGCCTTATCAGCTTTTAAAAAAATATACATTGAGAGACATACGGTCCTTTGATACCTAAGAACCTTAGCTTACCTGTTGAGATTATATCCGATCATTGAAACCTAACAACTTTGGCTTACCTGGTAAGATAAATGGCTCTTGATACCTAACAGCTTTGGCTTACCTGGTAAGATAAATGGCTCTTGATACCTAACAGCTTTGGCTTACCTGGTAAGATAAATGGCTCTTGATACCTAACAGCTTTGGCTTACCTGGTGGGATACAGGGCTCTTGATACCAAAAAAGCTTTAGCTTACCTGGTGAGATACACGAGCCTTGATACCTAACAACTATGGATTACCTGGTGAGATATATACGGTCATTGACACCCAACGACTTTAGCTTACCCGACGTGCCTTCAGCCATAGCTACGTGTATAGGATTTGCAAACGCTAATGCATTTGATAAAAAAAAAAATAAGTTAAAGATTAGTTTACTCGACAAGATATAAGACTTTAAGCAAATTAACGCTAAAGACTCTAGTGATAGGGTGAACACACATATGACTAGACTTACATTCAAAACCACACACATCACTAGACTTACATGTAAAACCACACATGTGACTAGACTTACATTTAAAACCACACACACCACTAGACTCATATTTAAAAGCACACATATCACTACACTGACATCTGAAACAGCATACACACCCCACATCAGGATGACTCACAAGAAGTTCCAAGTGAAACCCCGCTCATCTCCCCCCACTGTTCGTCCTGCTCTTGGTGCATGTTCCAGTTCATCAGGGCCAGGACTCCGATGAAGCTGAACACGATGACGTAGTACGCCGTGTGCTCCACGTGCCAGACGGCCACCGGAGTGCGACGTCGCGTGGTGTTGGAAAGGTGCTGATCGTCGTAAGGGTCGTCGCCGTCTTTGTCCCGTTGGGTGGCTGGACGTGAGCAACGTGAGGATGGCGTTCACAAGGTTTGGATGAGGGCGGATTGGTGGTTAAAAACAACAACAACAACAAAACAACAACAACAACAACAAAACAACAACAACAAAACAACAACAACACCAAAACAACAACAACAAAACAACAACAACAACAAAACAACAACAAAAAAACAACAACAAAACAATAACTACAACAAAACAACAACAACAACAACAAAACAACAACAACAAAACAACTGGTATGACAAATTATACCAATGAGAGTATGTAAAGCTGGGTAGGGAAAAAAAAGTACTTCTTCTATTATATAAAAAAAAAAAAAAAAAAAAAAAAAAAAATAAAAAAAAAAAATATTTAAAAAAAAATAAAAAAAAANCAAAAAAACAACAACAAAACAATAACTACAACAAAACAACAACAACAACAACAAAACAACAACAACAAAACAACTGGTATGACAAATTATACCAATGAGAGTATGTAAAGCTGGGTAGGGAAAAAAAAGTACTTCTTCTATTATATAAAAAAAAAAAAAAAAAAAAAATCTGATTAAATATACATATATTTAAAGAAATATCGAAGAAATTATTGATTGTTATAAATTTACTACGTCATTACAATAGTGAATATTATTATCTTTACTTTAAGTGCATAAAATTATCCTTGTATTAAAATAGGGAAAGTAAAAACAATATTTCTAAACAATCTGATTTGGAACTATTAAATGAGAACATCACCTGCTATCAATCATGTAAGTGTCGTCCCCCACCCCCCCCCCCCACAAATCAACTTGGAACGCCTCTTTGTATCCATGAAGTGTTTAGCCCAATCACCAGAGAACACCACTTACTGTTCAGGCAGTGTTCACCCCTATCACCAAAGAACATCACTTACTGTTCAGGCAGTGTTCAACCCCTATCACCAGAGAACACCACTTATGTTCAGACAGTGCTCACCCCTATCACCAGAGAACACCATTTACTGTTCAGGCAGTGTTCACCCCTATCACCAGAGAACACCACTTACTGTTCAGGCAGTGTTCACCACCTATCACCAGAGAACACCACTTTCTGAAGAGAACACCACTTACTGTTCAGGCAGTGTTCACCACCTATCACCAGAGAACACCACTTTCTGTTCAGGCAGTGTTCACCCCTATCACCAGAGAACATCACTTACTGTTCAGGCAGTGTTCACCCCTTTCACCAGAGAACACCACTTACTGTTCAGGCAATGTTCACCCTATCACTAGAGAACACAACTTACTGTTCAGGCAGTGCTCACCCCTATCACCAGAGAACACCACTTACTGTTCAGGCAGTGCTCACCCCTATCACAAGAGAACACCATTTATTGTTCAGGCAGTGTTCACCCTATCACTAGAGAACACCACTTACTGTTCAGGCAGTGCCGACCCCTATCACCAGAGAACACCACTTACTGTTCAGGCAGTGCTGACCCCTATCACCAGAGAACACCACTTACTGTTCAGGCAGTGTTCACTCCTATCACCAGAGAACATCACTTAATTTCTGGCAGTGTTTACCCTATCAACAGAGAGCACCACTTACTGTTCAGGCAGTGCTGACCCCTATCAACAGAGAACACCACTTACTGTTCAGGCAGTGTTCACCCCTACCAACAGAGAATATCACTTATATTCAGGCAGTGCTCACCCCTATCAACAGAGAACATCACTTACTGTTCAGGCAGTGTTCACCCCTACCAACAGAGAATATCACTTATATTCAGGCAGTGCTCACCCCTATCAACAGAGAACATCACTTATGTTCAGGCAGTGT